CTAAAGCTTCGAAAATGTGAAAGATTCTTTTTTTCTTTCTTCAGTGCTAGGGATTGAACCAGGGTCTTTCCAATGCTAGACAGGGATTCTATCAACAAGCTGTACCCAGCTGTCCGACAGACTCTTCCACGACCCCAGCATGAGCACTGGCAAACCTCACTGTGGATGTGCCTGCTGACAAGCTCAGGTGATTATGTCTTGCTCAACTGTGTTGGTACCATGTACCATTTTTGTTTGGGAAGGGTGACCTAAGACCTGTTTGAGATTTGGGTTTAGCTAAAGACCAGACATGGGGTCAGGCTTGGTGGCCCCAACACTCAGGAGGCAGACACATGGGAAACAAGTTCTGGGCCAACCTGGACTACAAGGAGATTTCAAGGTCAGGCTGGACCACATAGAATCCAACAAACAGAACAAAGCCAGACTTTGACGGGAACCTGCTTTCTAGGCTGAAACTGGAACCGGCTTGCTCTTGGGTTGTGCTAATGGATATCTTCATCATGAGCCAATTCTTGGCCCCTGTGGTGAGAAAGAGGCTTTTTCACATATCACAGAACAAGCACTTGTCTTGGATGTTTCTTCGTGCACTTAAATGAAGACTAAGCCCAACTTCTGTTGGGAGAAAAGTATCTAGTGACTGATTTGATTTGTGACATGTGAATGTTACATTATTAAATTTATTTTGTGTGTGGTACGAGGAATCAGACTCAGCACCTCATGCATGCTGGAAAAACACTTGCTACTGAGGCACACTCCCAGCCTGATGTTAAGCTTTTAAAAAGTCCTATGGTAGAGGCCTCTCCTTTTCTGAGAAAGGGAGGAGGGGTATGGGAGGGAAGGAAGGAGGAAAAGCTGTGATGTAATACAATTAATTAAAAAAAATCCAATAGTAATGGCAGTGAGATAGATTACAGCCTTGCGGTCCATGTGAACTCAGTGCTGCTTTATTTTGACTTCCTTGTTTGTGTTGGAGCCTGGAGCTATTTTGGTGTGGAAGCAGAAGAATTAAAAACTTTTCCCTGTGAAAGCAGTCTTCACCCAAACACGCCTCATACCTTTCCTCAGCACAGATTAGATTGAGAGAGGAAACAGTGCATCTGCTCTGTCGTAACTGTCACTTCAGCTTTAACGCCCTGGTGTCTTCTGAGTTTTGTTTAGACAACGAGCTGCCTATGAGAAGCATCATTAAAGCGGGTAAATGAGCCACACTACCATAATAAGTCAGTTGTGACCCCTCCATCTCCCTTCTCTCCCTCTTGTATGGCTTTCAACTTGACCTGATTGAGGTGACAAAGGAATGAAGAATGAACACACAGATGTAGACGGGGAAAGCAGGGAGTGGGTGGGCTGTCCTCACTCTGGTGGAGCAGCACCAACCACTCACCGACTCAGAACCTGGGCATGGTTATTATATACAGCACTAGAGAAGGGGATTAGCCAGTCTTGGTAGAAGGAGGCATGCTGTCTTAGGTTGCAGTCACCTAGGAAGAGGGATCAGCCTTTGCTAGTTTGGGAACACATTGCCAACATTTGCACTCAGACCAGAGGAAGGCTTTCCTCTCTCTTTCAGCCTCAGCCCAGGGGAAGCTTTGGCACTTCCTAGGGTCTGAGGCATTGGGAGTCCTTGACATGGCTGGACCCATATCAAGCAATATGCTTGGGGCCCCATCTGCTTGTTATGCATCTATCCAGGGCTTCTTCAGATCCCTATACTTTCTCCCCTCTCCCCCCCCAACCCCCCCCCAGTTCCCTTTCCCCTTCTGAGACAAGGTGGCATGTGGCTTGGATTGGTTGTATAATTGCTATGCAGCCCAAAATGATCTGTAACTCCTGATCCTCTTACCTCTACTTCTGGAGCAGGACCATAGATACGGACACCTTGGTCAACTGAGTCAGTGCTGGGAAGTGAGCCCAGGGGTTAGTGCATTGTTAGACGAATGCTCTACCAACTACTCCGTGCTGGGTACTATTATTACATCTTATTTTGATAAAAAAAAATTCTTTCTATACTACTCTGTCCCCCCACAGACTCCAGCATTAAAGGGTGAGGGGCCACTAGGGATACAGTTTATAAAGCTCAGAGGTAGTGTGGGTTTAGAATATGTAAGGTCCTGGGTTTTATCTTCACCAAAATAATATAAACAATAAATATGTAAATAAATGAAGTACCAGTGTTTGGGCTATTGAGATGGGTAAAGGGGCCTGCCACCAAACCTGCTTAGTTGGGTTCAATCCCCAGAACCTTCTTAGTGGAAGAAAAGAGCCAACTCCTGAAAGTGTTATCCTTAGACCCCAGCAAGTATGCTATGGTATGGGGGGTGTGTCCTTTCCCTGAAATAATTAAAAAAGAGATTCGTGTATAGTAATCTTGTGGTCTGCAGCCTTGTTCACCACATCTGTGAGCCTTCATAGTTAGTTTTTGTGTATAAGTTCTTTAAACTTTTCTAGGTACAAGATCATATGATCTCTGAATAGCCATAGTGGTAACTTTACTTCCTTCTCTTCCACCTGGATATATTTTTTTGGTTCTGACCTGATTGTCTAAGTTTGCAGTTCTTGCACCATTTTAGAGGAAGTGGCTGAGCAGAAATCCTTGCTTTGTGCCTGTCTTACCCCCTTAGTGATGGTGTCAGCTATGTCTGTTTATAGGCATCTAGGACCTTTGAGGAAGTTTCCGTCACTCCCAGTGTGCCGAGTGCTTTGCCATGGAGTGTTGTTGGATATGACGGATGCCTTTCCCTTGGAGCAGGACTTTTATTTTTAGCTTTGTTTTTATTTTATGTGCATTAGTGCTTTGCTTGGATGCATTTCCTCAGAGGCCAGAGATGGTATTAGATCCCCTGGAACTGGAGTTACAGATGGTTGTGAGCCACCTTGTGGGTGCTGAAAATTGGACCCTGGACCTCTGTAAAAGCAACCAGTGCTAGTAACAGCTGAGCCATCTCTTCAGGACTCCTCTTTTTTTTTTTTTAAACCAATTGAAGAGTTATTTATTTTTGTGTCCCCAGTAAGGCATCTTGTTGATGGCTTTTTGATAGCCACCTTGTAACCTTTTGTGCTCAGCACTGAACTGGGACTGGACTTTCAGTCCTAAGCCATCTGCATGGATGTTGAGTTCCTGCACTCTCTCCAGTTTACGTTTTCCATGTTATTTTAAAGTTGCTTTAAATTTGCATGCAGCAAACTGCACTATGTATTTGGTATATGGTTCTATTTGGTTTTTCTTTTTTCTTTTTTTGAGATTATAGTATAATTACATTTTCTCATTCCCTTTCCTTCCTCTAAACCCTCCCCATACACCTTCTTGTTCTTTTTCAAATTCATAGCCTCTTCTTTCATTGCTGTTATGTGTGTGTATGTGTATGTATGTATGTATGTACGTATGTATGTGTGGACTCACACGTGTGTGTGCACAAGTGTGTGCACGTGTGCATATGTATCCCTAGCTATGATCTGCTCTGTCTCTATGATGTTACTCACACGTATGTTTTCAGTGCTGATCTTTTGGTACTAGATGACCAACTGGTCTGCTCTTGCCTGGAGATGACTATCCCTCCTACCCCAGCTTTTCTTAGTGTCCTGTAGTTCTTTTGTGTAGGGTTGAGGCCCCATGGGCTTTCCTGGGTCCTTGTTCAGCTAAAGTTTAGGCAGTCACATTGGTGAGAATTTATGGGTGTAGCTTATAACGTTCCTAGGAGACACAATCTCACAGCAAACTGTCTCTGAGCATTTTTCCACTGAGCCATCTCCTTAGCCAGATTTTTATTTCTAGTTTTATTTATATATTTTTGAGATAGAGTCTCACGCTGGTGGTCAGGGTAGCTGAGGACTCACTATGTTGTCCAAGCTAGCCTTGGATTTTCTATAATTCTCCTGTCTCTGCCTCCAGAGTGCTGGGATTATAGGCCTGAACCACCACACTGGCCAAAACCCTAAAATATTTCCTATTTGGAAAGTTTACACAAGTTTGCCAATTCCTTCTCTCTCTCTCTCTCTCTCTCTCTCTCTCTCTCTCTCTCTCTCTCTCTCTCTCTCTCACTCCCTCCCTCCCTCCCTCCCTCCCTCCCTCTCTCTCTCTCTTTCTCTCTCTCTCTTCCTTTCTTTTTGGTCTTTTCATGGTTTCTAAATATGTTATGATGTCATTGTACAGTGTCATTTTGTTCAGATGTCTGTCTAATGGAAGGAGTGTGCATCTCTGAGCACAACTGCTAGGTCTTAAGGTGATGATAGTTGTCATTTTGAAAGATATTACCAAATAAAGAAGCTGAGCTGGCTTATACTCTGTCCAAGGTCCGCATGCCTCAGCCTGTTGCCCCACAGCCTCCGCTAACTGTTAACAGCCGACACTTGCCGATCTGATAAAGGAAACACAGCGCTCATTGTAGCCTGAACTTGTTATTCTCTGGTTACAAATAAGAATTAGCATTTTAAGTCTAAACAGTTATTTTGAATTAACTAAATAACAAATAATCAATCGACAAACACATTTAGGAAACAGGGTCCCATTCTGTATCCCAGACTATCCTGGAACTCACTATGGCTGGAGCCCACACTGGGGATCTGATCTGGAACTGCTGTCTGATCCTCCGGATCCAGCTTCTTAAGTGTTGGGACTACAAGCATGAGCCACCACCACTCCTGGATTATTTTATTTTATTGACTTATCTTTGCTGGGTTTGGGATCGAATCCAGGGTCTCCAGCATGCTTAGGGAAGCACTCCATCATGGAGCCACTTTTAAAAATTCTTCCTGAGCAATTTTCCCCTGTCCAGTCCATCCAGGAAGCGGGACCTGGCCTCAGGCTGAGGACTGGCAACGGGATCAGGGCGTGGCTCGCCGGGAGGCTGAGGCACTGGACCCCCCCACTTCAGCCCTCCCTCTTCCCACTGTGGTCTCGGAGCTCCGCCCAGAGTCCTCCGGGGGGCTGTCCTGGGCGGAGCCCTTGGGCCAGTGGGCGGAGCTGAGCGCCTGATTTATTCCCGTGTGAGAGGAGCGGACGCAGGAACTCCCGGGTCCCAGCATCTGAGCGCGTGGACTCTTTCCCGCGTCCCGTAGCATGCAATTCTCCCGTGTGCTGGCCGCGCTGTGCGGCGTGCTGCTGTGTGCCTCTGGCCTCTTCGCCGCGTCCGGTGAGTCCCTCTGGCCTCGCCCTTGTTCTGCCCGCCGCTCGGAAGTTCTCAGCGGCGCCCTCCCTCTACCCCTACTGTTGACAAACTTCAGCAAAGCCTGGAGGGGGACGCCCGGAGATTGCGTCCGGGTAGGAGAGGCGAACGTGCCTCTGCGCGCTCTGCCCTGGGGCCTTGGGGCTGTGATAGTAGCTTTTGCACTGAGCGGTGACCCTGGACACCCGGTGACAGCCCTGCCTCCCCCAGGGATGTGACTTACACATAACAAAGGAATCCGCTGCGTCGTGCCTCTTTTTACCGCGTCTGTAAAGTGAGGCCACTGAACTGTATCTGCTTTCCAATCCAAACAATTTGGGAGAGTCTAGGATTCTTGTGCGGGTACAGCTGCAGCTAACTTTACCTGAAACTCTCCTAAACCCGCCTGGCTAAAGAATTCAATGAACTTTTGTGCCCCCCTTGTTGGTGTTTGATCAGCTAAGTGAAGAAAGGACCGAAGGGTCGGTACGAGAGAGACTGGCTGTAGGTGGGGCCCGTCTGGAACTTAGAAAAGGGATTCCTGCCCCCAGCTGGCCTTGGCCAGCTGCTTTATCTCCCCTAGCCCTCCTCCTCCGCTCTGAGGTCCGCCTTAGAAGTCTGGGCCTCTTGGGGGATGCTGCTGGAGAGTTCATCATGAAAAAGCAATGCCCACGTGAGGCGGGTGAGCTCAGCGGCTCTTCAAGCAGCCTTTTCGTCGTTTCTCATAGAAATGGGACTGGCGAGATCACAGGCAGGAGAGATCACAGCTGTACTCTGTCGCCTAGCACAGGATCTGACCTCGGGGTTGGAGCTGAAGGCATTGGGCGCCCCAGGCTTCCACAAACTGGGAACTCTTGGTCTGTCCACTAAGCTCGAAAGATGCTTGGATCTCCTCTGTCCCTTTCTACCCCTCCTCTTTGCTCTTCCCATAACCTGTGCCCTGGCCAAATGTTCCGGGAGACAGTTCCCAGAGCAGGACCCTGAAATCTCATAGGGTTTATAAAAGAGCTGGCCTCTCCCGGTCTCATAAGCAGGTGGCCAGCCTCAGTCTCAGCGCCGCTGCTGGCCACCTTCCACTTTCTGATTTTTCTCTCTGGACCCCTGGTTTGGTTCCAGGTACAGCAGTAGGGAAGGCTGGAAGCCTGGCCCTTGTTGGTATGGGGTGCCTAGGCCTTGGCAATCCGGAGCCTCCACGTGAGAGGTTGTGACTGTGCCATTCCAGGTCAGAGGGGATTAACCTGCTATTTAAAGCAAGTGACTAATAGTTCTGCCACAGCGCCTTAGGATCCCCAGGCCCTTGCTGAGGTGGAGCTGTGTGGGCTGGTGCCTGCCTCCGGCTTGGGAGCCTGAGCTCCCTGGAGCCTTGAGCTTTCAGGAGGGCCCTTGTGTCTTGGGTCGGGAGGGGAACAGATCTCTTAGCTTTGATTCTAGTGCTGAGTTTGGGGTGGAGTCTAGTAGTACCCTGTTCGGTACAACGGACTTGGGGAGCTGCTGTTCACTGGTTCCTGCCAGTGTCAGGGTACCTGGGGCAGATGAGAGTTAGGCGGGCTTCTGAGATAGGATGCTTCTAGTCCCTCTTTGGACATGGAGATGGGGTGGGGTTTGCTAGCTGCATATAGTCCATCAGATCACAGGCCAGGTGATCTCAGCCCCAGCTTACCCCACCCCTCTTCCTGTGTTCTCCGTTCTGGTTGACAGTGCACATCTGTCACCCAAGGTGCCCCCAAAGCTCCAGTGATCTCTCCAGCCTTCCTCTATCTCTTCAGTCCATGTTCCATGAAGCCTCTCAAATTCACCTGCTCATCTTCCCTTTGCCCTAATGTGTCTCCTCATCATTCAGCCTGTGAGCTGAGTCTGCTGTGAGCTGAGCATGATCCGCTGCTGCCAGACCTGCACTTCTTACCCTGTCAGCCTTGGCCTGGGGCTTTCAGCCTTCCTCCGTTCAAACTTCAGTCTGGCTGTAGAGAGAGGGAGAGGGAGAGAAACACACACACACACACACACACAGAGAGACAGACAGACAGACACACACACAGAGAGAGAGAGAGAGAGAGAGAGAGAGAGAGAGACAGACACACACACACACAGACAGACACACACACACACACACACACGAGAGAGAGACAGACAGACAGACACACACACACACACAGAGAGAGAGAGAGAGAGAGACAGACAGACAGACAGACACACACACACACACAGAGACAGACAGACAGACACAGACACAGAGAGAGAGAGAGAGAGAGAGACCAACAGACACACACACACACACAGAGAGAGAGAGAGAGAGACAGACAGACAGACAGATACAGACACACACACACACAGTGAGAGAGAGAGAGAGAGAGAGAGAGACCAACAGAGAGACAGACAGACAGACAGACAGACACACACACACACACACACACACACACACACACACACGGTGGTGAGGTGTCTGAGACTTGTAAGCCAATGCTAGAGAAACTTAAGGAAGGTTAAAAATCTATTGACAGACTGCAGCATACAAAGTCTAAACTTGTCCTTCTTAAGATCCCTCTCATTCTGACCTGAGTCCAGTCACATCTGAACCATTCTCCAATGTGCCGTGTCCTCAGTGTGTCAGCTTCTCTCTAGAATATTATTTTCTTGTCCCTTGTCATCCTTGCCATTCTGGTTTTTTTTTTAAAGAAAATGTGTTTGCTGTATTGTCTGTGTGTGTGTGTGTGTGAGCCCGAGTGTATTATACATGCACCACTTGCATACAGGAACCCTCGGAGGTCAGAAAAGGACACTAGATCCTCTGAAACAGAAGTTATAGGTGGTTATAAACCACCACATGGATACTGGGGACCGAACCAGGGTTTTCTGCCAGAGCAGTAAGTGCTTTTAATCTCTGAGCTGTCTCTCTAGCCGTACCTATAGATTTTAAGATTTGCTTTATTTAACCGGGCAGTGGTGGTGCATGCTTTTAATCCCAGCACTTGGGAGGCAGAGGCAGGCAGATTTCTGAGTTTGAGGCCAGCCTGGTCTACAGAGTGAGTTCCAGGACAACGAGGGCTACACAGAGAAACTGTTTTGAAAATTAAAAAAAAAAAGATTTGTTTTATTTATTTATTTTACAAATTATGTCTACATGTCTCTGTGTGGGCATGTGCGTTAGAGTACAGGGGCCTAGGACTCTGCACGTGCAAGACATGCGCTACCATTGACCTATATCACTGGTCAGTCTCACTGGCTTCTTGAGGGTAGGATGACAGCTAACTTCTGTCTCAGGAGCCCAGTGTGTGCACATGGTAGCCGGATTCTTAAGTGCTTACCGAATGGTCATGTTTGGACTGCTATTGCAGGAGATTTCTGTGACTCCAGCCTGTGCCTGAATGGTGGGACCTGCTTGATGGGCCAAGGCAATGACATCTACTGCCTCTGCCCCGATGGCTTCACAGGCCTTGTATGCAACGAGACTGAGAAAGGTACCTGCTCCCAGTGGCCTGCCTCCCCTGTCTCTTCCCAAGTGGGTAGCCCTTGTTCCAGTAGAAACTCCCGGCCACTTGGAAAAGCCAGTGATTTTAGTATGTGGGCAAATCAATCCTTTCAGAGAGCCTCTTGGGTCCAGGATGATAGGGGTAGGGAGGAAAAGAGGCTGGTTTGGATGGATCGTTTGGGACTGGGTCCTGTGATGCTCTTTGGTGTGTTCACAGCCCTTTTCAGACTACCTCTCCATCTGATCTGCCCCCTTGCTTCCAGGACCGTGCTCCCCAAACCCTTGCTACAATGATGCCAAATGCCTGGTGACTGTGGACACACAGCGAGGGGACATCTTCACCGAGTACATCTGCCAGTGCCCTGTGGGCTACTCGGGCATCCACTGTGAAACCGGTGAGCACTGGGGGCCTGTTGCTGGGCACGGGCACTAGCGGTGAAGCTGCCTCTGTGAAGACTGAGGAATGGGCAGAGTTCAGTGGGTATCCCATTGTCCCGTCCCAGGCGTCAGGCCTAGCTCTCTCTCTTGGGACTTCAGGTCAGACCTGGTGTTGTTGTGGGGAAGTGAGAGAGTGTGGGGACTGAGGTCATGGGGATGCCATGTCCTGGAGACATACAGTGTCAGAGTTAAGTCTTGAGACTCTTTGTTCACCAGTAAGAAGAAACAGGCATGCTATTTAACATAGAGCCAGGACCAGCTCATAGAGGTCAGGGAGGAGGGGGAGGCTGTGTTGTCTTGTGCTAGGAAGGCTAGAAGCCTGGTATATAGGAAGGAGCTGACCTGTCTGACCTGTTTGGCTATCCCCTGGGCTTCAGAGCGGCCTGAGTGAATGCCAGCTAACATTGCTGGTGATAGTTCAACATGCTGCCCCCAACTCTGCCCCAAGCATACCAGGGCCTTTCTTACCCTGTGTCACATGGGAAGGGCTGTGTCCAGACAAGGGAGGGAGGAAGGTGTGTGTGTGCGAGCCCGAGAGTGCATGCTCATGGGTGTGTATGTACGTGTGCATGTGCGTGTGTGTGTGTGTGTGTGTGTGTGTGTGTTAGGGGTCCAGCTTTCAGCTATCTAGATCAGGAAGTGGACATCCTGTGGGGTATAGAAGGAGGGGATAGCTGGGTCAGCTTTGTGGGGGCTGGGCCCCAGGATGGGACAATACAGACAGAATGCCTGGGATGCCCCTGACTTAAGAGGAGACAGAACAAAGGCCTGGCCGTTGAAGGCTGGACTAAAGCCAGTTGAGTTTGAGATCCTTAGGGGGAGGATGAAGGAGCTCCTGATTGCTAAGGCTGGGTGGAGCCAGGCAAGCCTGCTAATTACCAGGTGGGAGCCGGGCTAACCATGGTGTATCTGGGTGTGAATTAGCTACGCAGCTTTCTCTGGGCTGCCAGGTCTAGAGTTGGCTCTAGGCTGGATGGTAGCACCTGGAGCAGAGGGTAGGCGGTGCCCACACAGGCTGCGGGAGTGTGCCGGCAGAGGGACCGCACTCTTCTTTGTTATGCTGTTTCTGGTGCCAATGCCAAGGCTGCACCTTTGGGTCCCTTGGGGGTGTGGAGATGGTGGGTGTGAGGCATCAGGAGGCTGATCTGGCCTAGGTCTTGGATGTCCATCCCCAAGTGACATCTTACCCTCTCTATAAGATTGGTAGTACCTGCTCAGGATGAGCCTCTACCACTAGAGTCCTGTAGGATATCCCTGGGTCCCCCTGATAGCAGAAGCCTGGACACCCACCATTGGTGTCCATAGGGATGGAAAGGTCTTCTTGCCAACAGGCTTGATCGCTATTCTGAGTTTCTGGTATCGTGTTACTGGTCACGCAAAGGTTACGGCTGGGAACATGCTTACATACGGGTGGGTAAGGGACTTGGTGGTCAAAGGTGCAAAGGATGCAGAAGAAAGCAGAGTGGTCCTCATACACTCCTCGGAAACTGCTGACAGGATCTAGAAAGTACCGTCTAGTGTCAGGTGTGATGCCAAACGCCTCTGATTGGAGCCGAGGCAGGAGAATTCACAGGTCTAAGGCTAGAACGTGCAACTGGGCTTGACCCTGTCTCAAAACAGTCAGGACTGGGGATGGAGCGCAGTGGTAGAAGCCTCGCCTAGCTTGTTCAAGTTTAATCCCCAGTACTACACACATGCTGGGAAGATGAAAACCTTGCTTTGTGTGGAGTTAGCTTTGCTGTTCCTTACTATCCAAGGGAACTCCTTTCCTAAAGCCACCCCTCCTGGGTGAGCCAGGGCTAGGGATGTGGGGGAAAAGGTCATCCTGCTTTTCTCTCCTACCAGAAATCAACTACTACAACCTGGATGGAGACTACCTGTCCACCACAGCCGCCCCCAACACAGCCGTCCCCACCACAGCCGCCCCCAACACAGCCGTCCCCACCCTGGTCCCCACCCCCGATCTTTCCAACAACCTAGCCTCCCGTGAGTTAACTCTGCTGGTCCCTTGTCTCCTGTGTCTCCCGTGCCGTCTTGTCTTCCATCTGGTGTCGGTGTCCCTTGGTGTTATCTACTCTGAGGGTCTGAGGTTCTCTTTGTCTTTAGGTCCTCATCAGAGGCCATGTTGTTTTTTTCTTCTCTTGTCCTGTGGACATAGCTGAGCTATGGAACTTTGGATTAGATGGCTGATAGTCACTCTCTCCTTGCAGGTTGTTCCACAAAGCTGGGCATGGAAGGGGGCGCCATTGCTGATTCACAGATTTCCGCCTCGTCTGTGTATGTGGCCTATTTGGGCTTGCAGCGCTGGGGCCCAGAGCTGGCTCGTCTGCACCGCACGGGGATTGTTAATGCATGGACAGCCAGCAACTATGATAGCAAGCCCTGGATCCAGGTAGGAAAAACCACAGGGCAGGGTGATAGGCAACACAGAGAGAGGTGACCATGAGTGAAATGTCTATATATAGAGGGCAGTCTTGGGCCTGGAGCCAGTGGGCAGATTTTGAGAAGAGATACCTTCTTTGATGGAGGGGATTTGGCACCCACAGGCCTCTTGGGGTCTTGGAACTCTGGGGCTTTTCAGAGCATAGGCTCAAGAACCTCAGGAGAGAAACCACCCCCTTGGAGAAAGAACCAGTGAGCTAGCCAGTTGGATTTGGGTGGGAAGACGAGATAAGGAGGAGACGTCTTTTCTCACCCGGGGTCCAGGTAAACTTTCTGCGGAAGATGCGGGTATCAGGTGTGATGACGCAGGGTGCCAAACGTGCCGGGTGGGCGGAATACCTGAAGACCTTCAAGGTGGCTTACAGCCTCGATGGCAGCAAGTTCGAGTTCATCCAGGATGAAAGCGGTACCGGAGACAAGGTGGGTCTAAGGAGGGGACGCTAATCAGTGCTATGAGTCTAGCACTGATTGAGAATCGAGAGCAGCCTGAGTGGTACGGTCGGAGTGAATCTTCAAGTGTCCCTTGATAGGTAGACATGGATAGACCTCGATCATACTTATGTTCTGTGGTTGCAGGGCACAATCTCACCCAATAGAAACTCAGAGTAGTGCTATGCCCTGGATGGGATGGTGGTTGTGGTGGATTTGGGCTTCATTCTAAACATTTCAGGGCTGCAGTGTACAGTTGCGAAGATGTAATTAATTAGCTAAGTGGGCACCGTTTACAGCACAGATATCATACAGGTCTATATTGCTGTTGTCATAAAGTCCTTTGAGGATGTACACAGAGGCCCTTTAGATAGTTCCATGTGAGGTGGAGTTTATGCCCAGGTCCTGTGATGACCAAGAGGTCAGTGACAAGGACACTGTCCTGATGTTCTTGTGCTGGAGTCAAAGCAAGGGCTGCAGGCTGTGTCCATGTGGGCTCCGTGGAGGCTGTTCTTCCAACCTTTGCTGGCCTTTCAGATGTGAAGGGGAAGAGGCATACCCACTTCCTCCTCTAGCCCTCCCTCTTTTCTTCTAGGAGTTTTTGGGTAACGTGGACAACAACAGCGTGAAGGTTAACATGTTCAACCCCGCTCTGGAGGCACAGTACATAAGGCTGTACCCTGTTTCCTACCACGGTGGGTGCACCCTCCGCTTCGAGCTCCTGGGCTGTGAGTTACACGGTGAGTGCTGAGATGAAGCTCTCTCTGTCTCTGTCGTGAGCTGCTCAGGGTCTACTGTGGAGACTGACCCCTTGTGTCCTGCCTGGGAGTTCCAGTTGTGCCCTGTCTGCCAGTCCATTGCTCTGGGCATTTTGGATGGTCATTTCATGTCTCAGTATTTCTGCTCATTTTGGTCCCTAGTGCTTCTACAACGGGCAGCGAGTTCCACCGTAGCAAGGGAATTGTCTGTTTTCTTTGTTGCTGTATTCTCAGGGCCTCAACCATGTGGGTGCTTAGTAAGTCTTTGATGAGGGATGAATGAATGAATGGATAGAAGAACACCTAGCTGCATTATTTATCCAAGATACCCATCTGGGAAGTGCAAGCACAGTGCTTTCCCTTCAAGCATCTGCCACCTGCATTGTGCCGTCAAGCAGGTGCTTCTAGGAACATAGAGCTTGGAGTTTAGTGCTTCTACAGACAGGGGGACTAGAAAGGGTCAGATAGCTGCTGAACCAGGGAGATGATTCTCTGAAGAGGCCCTTCTGACAAATACTGCCATCTAGTTAAGGCCCAAGAGCTGTTTTTGAGGCCTGTTTCTCTTTGAAGTCATAGCGCCACCTGCTGGCCACATGGGGTAACTATAGGGCTGGCTCTGCAGCTCACCCAGAATACCCTGCTGTGCCTTCTTTCCCTATCAATGACACTGTTTCCTGTTTCTGCATTTTAGATAGTACCTAGGAGCTGAGTTCTGGGTCTCACTGTTTTCTTTTCCCCTTAAGTACTAGCAACTCAAGGCTTTGTGAATACCAGCCACAGGTGCCATCATGAGCCACACCCAAGTCCTGGTCTATTTTGTTTTGTTTTGTTTTTTTGAGACAGGATCACTCTATATAGCCCTGGCTGTCCTGAGATTCATTGTATAGACTATGCAGTCCTTGAACTCACACCTACCCCTTTAAAAGTATAGATTTAAGCTAGTATGCTTCTGTTACAAAATTTGGGTCACAGTCTGTACCACAAAAAGTCAACATTGGCCCTTGTGCCAATTGAAACAGCGGAATTAATGTTCAAAAGTGGAAAGAGATTTATTCAGTGTGGCCATATAAGGGAAGATGGACGGAGATCTAGTGGTCCCCTCAAGTCCATCTTTCGGGTCCTGAACCACATTGAAAGTTTAAATAGAAGGCCAGGGATGGATGCACAGGTCTAAGCAGTCCTGAGTTGTGGCCCTGCCCACTGCTGACTCATCATTGCTGGGCTTCTGTCTCATCCTGGTCTGGCAAGTTGTTACAATGTATAAAATCTTCAGGGAGGCACATTCCCCCTCTGCCTCTGATACCCTTCTCCCGGTATGGGATTCCTGGAGAAATTTGCATCTATTTTACCCATTGTTTGAGCAATCTGATAGTCAGAAGGAGAGACATAAGTATCTTTTAGAATATTAATTTTTGCCAGGAAGGTTATCCTTCTCTCAGGGCCATTGCCTTTTGCATCATGTGACTTAATCTCTGGCAAATGGCAGAAGTAGGTCTGGTCTGGCCACTGCTCTCTGGGGTCACCCAGCCTTCACTGCTGGCTTGAGGCCTTTGGTTCTCCAAGTTGCCAGGCTAGTGAAGCCCTGAGTGATTTAAGTCTTGGGGTGGGGCAAGCTAAGCCTCATATCAGAGAGCAGAGAGCAGAGCTGTGTCCTCTGCCTCCTTCCTGGCCTGGCCCACTTTTGTCTGTAACCCAGTCTGTTAGCTGGAGAGTGTTGGCATGGGGGGTGGGTAGGGCAGGGCCTGTGCACTATACATGTGGGTAAGGTGAGGACCCAGGTATCCTGGGAGTCCACAAAGCTTCCCAGACCAGGGTTGTTATTTTTAGCAGACAGTGTCTTTGGTGAATTAACTGTTGAATTTAGACAGTTACTAAGTTTCCCCTAAATACTTAGATCCAAGGAAGGGAACAAGTAAGACCTTTGACCTTTGAAACAAGTGAGACCTTTGATCTCCTGAAACTTTCACTCTCTCCAGGGAGTCAGAGGTGAGATTAGCAAATAAAAGGAACGTCAGGGGTCGGGCAAGATGGCTGAGTAGGTCAAAGCACCTGTTGCTTTTCCACAAATAAAATAAATATGGTGCTTAAAGACTCAGGCACATATTATAAAGAAAGAAGAGAAAAGAAAGGTCAGCTAGCAACAAGAAGTCTGAAGGAGGAAGTGGTGGAGTGGGTGTGGGGGAAAGCATTGTGGAGATTCTTCAGCTGGACAGCCAGTCCTTGGGACATCTTGGGAAGAGTAATAATAATCTAGGTGGAGATTGCAAGGACAAAGGTCCTGGGGCTTCTTGAAGGATAAGAAAGCCACTGGGGCTGGATCCTAGAGTGTGCAGGAGGCTGGAGAGTGGTGAGCTCACAGACCAGGTGCTTCAGCATCTTCCAGGTCTACTCTGGACCTGCTGGGACAGATTTTTTTTTTTTTTTTTTTCGAGACAGGGTTTCTCTGTGTAGCCCTGGCTGTCCTGGAACTCACTCTGTAGACCAGGCTAGCCTTGAACTCAGAAATCCGCCTGCCTCTGCCTCCCAAGTGCTGAGATTAAAGGCGTGCACCACCACTGCCCAGCCGGGGACAGAATTTTTAATTTAGTTTAATTTCCAGTTCTGGTGAGTTTTTTTTTTTAAAAAAAAATTTATTATTTATTTAACATGTATGAGTGCTCTAGAGCGTATCAGATCCAAGTATAGATGGTTGTGAGCCACCATGTGGTGGCTGGGAATTGAACTCAGGACCTCTGGAAGAACAGCTAGTGCTCTTGACCGCTGAGCTATCCCTCCAGCCCCTTAGTTCTGGTGATTTAACCCAGGGCAGAACTCTGTCACTGAGCTAAATCTCCAGAGTCTGTCTCTTTAATTTTTAAGAGACAGAGTTTTGCTATACAGCCCAAATCACCAAAGACACTGCCTGCTAAAAATAACAGTCCTTGTCTGGGGAGATTTCTGGCCTCTAGGACACCAGGGCCTCACCCCAGGTTGGCCTAATCTTGCAATTCTTCTGCCTCTACATGCTAGGATCATAGAAAGGTACACCATACCCGCCCAGCTTGTTTATAAGATCTGTCATCTCTGTGGAGAGCTACAGAGGGTCTCACTTCACAGAGGAGGAAGAAGTTGACCCCCAGAGAGGCAGGGACTTGTGCATGCATATCCTGAGGCCGTGCTCTGTAGTTTGCTATTTCTGGGAGGCCCATGAAAAGGATAGTTGTACAAGGTCCCACCCCTAGGAGGATGAATTAGTCCCAGGGTAGTGGTTGCCTCAGAATGTCCCCATCCTAGACACAAAGGATCAACGAGTTTGTAGCCCAGGAACCTCTGAGGAAGCAGGGTGATGGCTGCCTGGCCTTCTGCCTTTTGTATCGGATAGCTCAGCAAGGTACCTTCAGCAAATTTGGGAGGAAGGCATCTGGGGGACACACTTCCCAGATGAAAATGTGGCTCTTTATCCCCACTGCCTCACACTTCCGCCTTTCAGGGGACACAGCTGGGTGGGGATGCGGCTGGGTATGAGAGACGCATTATCCACCCAGGAGGATTACTTTCTACCTAGCATTTCCTGTTCATCCAGAGCGTATGAGTGCAAACTTGTCGACCATTCCTCAGAGTGAGCCTGGAGGCACTGGGAGGAAACAAAGGCTATTCTCCCTGTATACATCCCAGCATGCCAGAAGTGTTGGGGTGAGCCAAGGCCCTCCACTAGGTCTTAAAGAATGCTCTTGGGAAGGACACAGAAGCAGCCCACCAAACTCCATCCTTGGGCTTCAGTAGCCTATAGCCTCTGGAGGATAGGGATGTTTGCTATACACTGCTGGATGGCTCCATCTGGGGCTTTACAGGTCCCGGCATGGGGGATAATGTCACATTTGGTATGGCAGTCAGGATCAGGTGTGTGAGATGTGGATACAACTTCTCTGAGGTTGTGGACAACACCTCTTGGCCTCTGTTTTCTCATGCGTAGAATGAGGTTGCTGATAGCTATTTACTTGTTCAGTGTATTCTGTGGCTAAAGTAAGTCCCTGATGTTAGGAAGCACCTAGTTGTGTGAGGTGTCCTGAGGGGAAGGGAGGGAGTTCTGGGAGTCTGGCCATGTCAGGGGGTCTTGGTGATCCTCTAGGTGCAAGTTGGGATGGGGTGGAGTTGGAGCCGAGTCTAGCTGACTGGAGTGAAGAGACAGTGGGGAGCAAGCAAGGATAAGAGCAGCTGGTTGTGGAAGGCAGGTAGGAACTCCAAGAGGATGCTAATTTGGGCATCATGGCCTAGTCCCAGATGTTAGGAAGCTGAGGCTGGAGGATCTTCTTTTTTTTTTTTTTTTTTCTTTTTTTTTTATTAATTTCTTTTTTTTTTTTGAACATGAAATGCTTTTTTATAGCATGTTTTACAAGGGGAGGGGGTAAGAGGGTCCAGGTGGTGGAAAAGTACAAAATCTTCTTGGCCTGTGCCTTGAAACATGTCATGGTCTATATGGGACACTGCCTTGAATTATGATCTACCTGCAGTTCTTCAGAAGATATGGTACACTGCTTGAGTTATGGTCTCCCTGCTATTCTTAAGAAGACATGGTACTCTGCTTTGAGTCTATCTGCAGTTGCTAAGCAGGCTCTTGCAGCTGCCAAGCTTCAAAGGACATTGTGCAGGTGGGGAAAGGTAGGGGGTAAGGGTAAGGGCGAGGGTCCTGGCTTCTGGCATCGCTGGAGGATCTTCTAATAGTTTATTTTATTTTTAATTTTTTTTTCGAGACTGAGTTCTCTGTGTAGCCCTGGCTGTCCTGGAAACTGGAAAATCTCTTGAGTACAAGAGTTCAAAGGCCAGTCTGGGTGACACAGCTAGACCCAGCTCAAAAAACAAAAGCTGGGCTGATACTCAGTTGGTAAGAGTGCTCATGAGAAGCTGTGGGTTCGGCATTCACATAACCTAGGTGTGGGGGTACACGGCTGGGATTCCTTTAGTCCGGCAGTGTAGGTGAGGATCAGACGTTCAGGACCAACCTTGACTACATAGTGAGTTTATGTCAGCCTGGGCTACATAAAATATTGCCTCAGAAACCAAACCAAACCCTAAACCAAAATAAAAGCCGTTTAGGAACCGCAACCCTTTCTCTTTTGTCGTCTTGTACCTACACATACTGGTGACAGCCCCTTTTGCCACAGGATGTTCTGAGCCTTTGGGCCTGAAGAATAACACGATTCCTGACAGCCAGATAACAGCCTCCAGTAGCTACAAGACATTGAACATTCGTGCGTTTGGCTGGTACCCGCACTTGGGGCGGCTGGACAATCAAGGCAAGATCAATGCCTGGACGGCTCAGAGCAACAGTGCCAAGGAATGGCTGCAGGTGAGAGTGGGTGGGATCTGTGACTCCTGCCCAGCCCCACCATCTGCTCTCCAAGGGATTTCCTGAAAAGCCTTGGTTTTCTTTGTTTCTTTTACTCTTTCTTTTTCCCAGGCTACCCCTTTTCTCTTGATCCTGCTTTGATGTGCTTACATACACACACACACACACACACACACACTCACAGACACATACACCTATACATACATACACAGATACACACACACACACACACTCACAGACACATACACACATACACCTATACATACATACACAGATACACACACACACACACACACACACACACACATAAAGTCATATACATATGCACATTCATATACACATATGCATACATACCCATACATACACACATTCATGTACACATACACACACAGACACATATACACATACATGTACACACACATACAGTCACACACACACACACACACACACACACACAGAGGAGTAGCACCACCCCATCAGCTGCCACAGAGTTGGCAAGGCTTACCTGTGGGCAGCAGGGCAGGATGGAGAGGGCACTTTAGGACTAAACTACTTCAGCAAAGCACATGTGTTCTCCCGCTCAGTGTAACTGGGAAATCTCAGAGAGAATGGAAAACCAGAGGTAGAGAATCAGAATGCAGATGGGGAAACTGAGTCCTGGCAGATTGTGTGGTGCCTTCCTGCTGGTTGTGGGTGAGATGGGCTTATAGCCTAGATCTGGGGACTGCCTGTCCAGGGGTCAGTTTTCAGGATAGTCAGGGCATGGACAAACCTAGGTCAGAGGTGCTCAGTCAGAGTTGGGTTCATTAGGAGCCTCCTGCTCTTGGGCTCTCTCAGGACCATGTAAGTCTCCAGGCAGCCTGACAGGTTTCAGAAGCAACTCCCACTCCTATAGGCTGTGGTCTCTCGCCCTGTTCATCATACCCCAATATATAGCTGATGCAAGAGCTAGCAGAGTCAGCTGAGGCCTGGACCCCTGAAATGTACTTCACTGATCTGAAGTTCACGGGCATCAAAGTGGATTATTTATGTGTCTTTATTTTTTACTTCACATTTTTGTGTTACTCAGGGTAACTCAGGGTCTTGGGCATTCTAGACCAGTACTGAGCCACTGAACTATATCTCCTGTCCTTGGTATTTTGAGGCAGGGTGTTACTAGGTAGCCAGGCTGGCCTTCAGCTCCATTCTCAGCCTATTTTGAGGCAGGGTGTTACTAGGTAGCCAGGCTGGCCTTCAGCTCCATTCTCAGCCTCCCAAGTGCTCGGGTTATAGGTGAGCACCACCATCCATGGCTTTATGCTCATTTGATGGAAGAGAGTCTTAGTCAGGGTTTCTATTGCTGGGATGGAACATCATGACCAAAAAGCAAGTTGGGGAGGAAAGGGTTTATTCAGCTTACGCTTTCATATCGAAGTTCATCATCGAAGGAAGTCAGGACAAGGACCCATAGCGGGCAGGAACCTGGAGGCAGGAGCTGATGCAGAGGCCATGGAGGGGTGCTGCTTACTGGCTTACTCCTCGTGGCTTGCTTGCTCATATGCTTTCTTATAGAACCCAGGACCAGCCCAAGGATGGCCCCACCCACAGTGGTCTGGGCCCTTCCCCACAGACCACCAATTGAGAAAATGCCTTACAGCTGGACCTTATGGAGGCATTTTTTTTTCACTTGAGGTTCTCTCCTTTCAGATAACTCTAGCTTATGTCAAGTTGACGTAAGACTAGCCAGCTCAAGGAGGAAATAGGCTAACAGGTCATCCCCAGTGTGTCTGCCTTTACACCTTCTTGAAAAAGTTCCAACCTAGAACATTGTTTTTTTTTTCCTGTAGGTTGACCTGGGCACTCAGAAGCAAGTGACAGGAATTATCACCCAGGGGGCACGTGACTTTGGCCACATCCAGTATGTGGCGTCCTATAAGGTAGCCCACAGCGATGACGGAGTGCAGTGGACTGTATATAAGGAACAAGGAACCAGCAAGGTGGGTGTCTATCCAGATGCAGTTCCTGGGATACTGTGGGGTTCTGATGGGTGGGGGAGGTCACAGACCGTGGGGCACTCCTGACACTCCAGTTGTTTCCAGGTCTTCCAGGGCAACTTGGACAACAACTCCCACAAGAAGAACATCTTTGAGAAACCCTTCATGGCTCGCTACGTGCGCATCCTTCCAGTGTCCTGGCATAACCGCATCACCCTGCGCCTGGAGCTGCTGGGCTGTTAGTGCTCAGTCCTTCCAGCCCAAATAACGAGGAGGACGGCCAGAGGCTGAGGGGCCTCCTGGCCTTGCCTCCCAGGTCCTGCTGCCTTTTGTGGCTGAGCTTCTCAGCCCTTCCTCCTGACTGCACTGGGGCTGGAGGCAGGAAGGACAAGGGGGTTTCAGAATTGCCCCTCGCCCTTTCCCTCACCCTGCAGCCCCCCACAGGCCTCCTGCTAGCCCCTTCTCTCAGGCCATCTGGGGGAGTTGGACAGGTCTGAGATGAGTAGAGAAGAGTGAAGTTGGGTTATGTGTGCTGTCTGTACCAACCACCCCAAGTCCTAAACTTCCTGCCAGGGGTTGACTCAAGACTAAAGGGAACCTCTGGTTGCCCACCCCTCTCTGCACACCACACATTCCTCTATGTTCTATTCCAGGAAGGAGAGGCCCAAGCCTGCTTGCTGCCCCTTGGGTCACCAGATCCTGCCTCTTATCTCCTGAGACCCCTCTTGACCCTTGCTCTGGAGCCTCAGTTGACAAGGCTGGGCAGCTCTGGGTGGTTGGCGAGCTGGTTATGGGACCTCTGCTGGCTTGCTACCCAAGTTAAGAAGCAGATTCCAAAATACATTTGTGTTCTCCACTGGACCTTCTGTGTTTCCTCATTGTCCTGTCTAAGCCAGGCTGCCTGGGGCTGCTCCCTGCCCCCACCCCTACCCCTGTCCTCCCAAGCCCAACACTCTTAAAACACTTGCCAGACTGCAAACGGCTTAAGAGCAGGGGTGGGAGACTGGGGGTGGGGTGCAGTTAGGAGTGGGGTTCCTTCTCCTCCGAGCCTGACTCACAGCTTCCACGTTTCTCCCTCTATCCTGCTCTGGCTCGGGCTCTGGCCTGCAGTTGCCACCTGGTGAAGGGCCAGAGGTGTCCTGGCAGAGAGGTGGTTCCTGTGACTTCTCCCTTCCCTCACTAAGAAGGTGGGCGAGGCCTGGGTACTGGGTTCTCCTTCGGTAGTTCCTGTTTTCTTTATAATGGGAGTGCTGGGCTAGAAACCCAGCAAACCTGGCTTTCAAAGAAAGGACCACAGTAGACTGGGCATGGTGGGCAGGGGTATGGTGCAGTGTGGAAAAGAAGAGAGGGGTTGCCAAATAGGACTGTGGGCAAGAGCATGCTGCTTCCTAGAGTCCTGGTGGGAGGAAAGGGGGCTCTGCCCTGCTCTGTAGAAGTGGCCAGTAGGAGCTATGCTGGCCCGACCCTTGATCTTCTGGAGAGGGGTGGCTACCTGACTGGGAAGAGACTGAATGAAGCAGCCACCCTGGTTTTCAAGATTTATGTCCCAGCCAGGCTCCGGGAGCCACACTATGGCTCTCTGGGAAACAGAAGGTCAGCTACTTGGCTGCTAAAGGGAGAACAAGGAGGTTTGTCTGGAAGCGCATCAGGGACACTCAGCTGGAAGTGCTTCTTCCTGAGAGCTGTCCGCTGTTGCCAGGGCTTCCTGTGGGTAGGGCAGAGGAAGAGGCTTAGTGGTACTTTACCCATTAAAGAGAGATGAGAGACTGATGGATCTTGAGGGCATCACGGTCTGAGGCCTTGCTTGAGCATTTCACTGGAGTTGTGTGGTTGGAACTCGAAATCTAGTCTTCCTGGGCTTTGCTGGCCTCCATCCTCCCTCCTCAGGGTCACTACCCCACCCCCTGATTCTGGCCTTCCCTGGGGACCAGCAGGAGATGGAAGAAGCATCCTTTTAGACACACTGCTTGGGAATGCCTTTGCCTCCTGGGACCCAGTACACGGGAGAGGAAGTGACACTTCTCCCCACCTGACTCACACCGCCCAGCCATATCTGTGGGCCAGACTTTTTATCTGGGCTGCTGGGCAGGCGGGTGGGTGGATGATGGTTGGGGTACAAGCCCCTCTACCTGGTGTGGGAGACTAGTATTGCCTAAGCTTGTTTCTTGGTTCCTTCTATGGAGCCTTGCATGTGTTGGCCACAGCCTTGCGAACGTCTCCTTTCTAGGATTCTAGCTAGCTTAGAGTCCCTCACTTTGACTTTTGTTTTCTTTTCCATTCTTGTCTACAGTCTAGACAGCCAGACTTGATATTCTCTCTGCTTACTGACCACCTTATCACTTGCTGTGACAATAGACTCTTCTGGCTGACCACAAATCTGCTTCCAAAACCAGAGGCTGTTAGCTCTGAGATCACCTCCCCTGCCTCTGTTTGTTCCTAGTTTGAATATGGTAGAGGGGCCTGAAGCCTAAAACCTCAGGGCAGACAATCTGCTTATATCTTAGTTCTGAGTGGCACTGGGCATCTAGTATCTAGAAAATGGAAATAGGAAGGCCAGATCCATGACATTGCTGGAACTAAAGGCAAGCACAGAGCACAGATGCCAAGCTTGGCCCAGTCACAGCCTCAGAGGCTTGTGGGAGTTTCCTCATTGGTACTTGTATCCTGTTTATTTCCTCATTAGTACAGTCAGGGCTCAGTTCCCTCCCTAACCTGCTGGGAAACAGCTCCCTTTGCCAGTATGCCTGGTATTCATTTTAGAGGGAACTTAGTTTAGACCACAGAAGTTGTGTTTTGGTTTGTTCCTAGCAGGGAGAAACACACACACACACAGACACAGACACACCCAGACACACCCAGACACAGACAGACAGACGGACAGACAGACACACACACACAGACACACACACACAGACACACACAGACACACACAGACACAGATACACACAGACACACACAGACACACACACACACACAGACACACACACACACACACACACACACACACACACACACACGGAGGGAGTCACTGCTGTCTAGAGTTGTATTTAGAAAGGTCTGGGCTCCTGATCCTGTGGCCTCTCCCTCAGCCGTTGCTGAAGGACCTCCTTAGGTTTCTCTGCTGAAACAACTAGGCCATGCAGGCCAGGACCTTGTCATTTTGGACAGGAAAGAAAACACCCTGTCCAAACAGAAGCATCCTGAGTTGTGGCTGCCTAGGGGGGGACAGATGTCAGAGGTCTGCAAGAGGACTCTGTTAGAGGAGTGCCCCCTCCAGTCCTTGTTTACCCCCACCCGAGGGCCTCCTGGGGTGGTCTATGTGTGTGGCTAGCCATTTATCTCTGCTCAGCCTCTGGCAGAAGGTTGTCATCCCTCAGCTCTCGGGAAGCAGGCACACACAGCTTACTCTTATTGAACTATCTAGGGCAGTCGTAGCCCACCCGCAGAATGCTGAAGGGGCTTCCCTTTTTAGAAGCCTGGATATTTTAATGGGACCTCCGACCTCTATAAACAATTCTTTACCACCTCTCTTTCAACTCCTCCTCCAAGATATTACAGCTACGGCTCCTGAGTCTCCATTCGCATCTTGCCAGCCTGTAGCTCCAGGTTTCGGGTCTGGACTCCAACGCTAACAGCAGCTGCTCCCGGGGCCAGGCTTTTGGGACTGGAGGGAAAGGGACTGTACCTTTAAGGGGCTGGTCCGGCGGGAGCCGGTGTTTGTTGGAAGCAGCTTCCTCTCGGGCCATTCAAGATCCCAAATTCTTCTACTGCTTAAGACCTGGACAGCCTGTGGCCTCAGCGTGTCGTGTCGCAGTGGCCCCAAGCGTTTGAACCGTCGAAGAGCTTGCTGGGGACGGTACATGTGACTGGGGGTGGCTATCTTTCGGGGAGCTGTGCATGCAGGTTTCTCCCTTCTCCTAGGGGACCCCGCGGTTGCGAGAAGGATGGGGATAGGAGACAGGGAACAGGGGGCAGAAGGAACTAGGGATTGAGGGACTCATCTGCCATGTCATCAACAGCCAGGGCAGCTGATAGCGCGCGACCCTCTTGGGAGCTACCAAGAAGTAAAATCACAGCGAATATCCAGGACACTGAGGTTTGTTTCCTTTTTCTTGTCAGTACTGTCTCAGTAGATCCATACCAGCTCTGTTCCAGGCATCCATGGGATGCAGCAAGAGCCACCAGAGACCTGGGAGAGTGGGGGTGGGCTACTAAGGACAACCTGCATTGGGTGGGCGGAGGATGCATGCCTATAGTCTACTTTGAATACTTCGAGATAAAATGCAGGATGCTTTGTGAGCACCTGGAGTCTTAGGGACAGGAGTGCACCGGGGCAAACTCTGGGTGCAAGCTGGCTACATCCAAGGAGGAGGCTGGGAAGGAAAGGCATAGTCCCTTGGACCTAGCCCTACCCCAGCTCATTGGGTAGTCACTAGCTACCTGCGATTCTGCTTGAACAACGGCCTCCGGGGCTGACCCCGAGAGCCCCTCTGCTCTGTTAGAAAGGGGGGAGGATGACCTGAGGTGCTCTGCTTCCCTCCAGCGACTGGCACCCAGGAGGCCTGGAATGCCGGTAGAAAACGCCCCCCTCTTGCCTTTGCCAGAACCTGGCGGGTGATGGTGGCGGAACTTCAAAGGCTTGGGAAAGTCTATTCGTAATGGGGCATTGATGTCAAATTCCTTCCTGAACTAGCTTAGTGTATCTGGGGGGCAATCCTGCCCTCTGCCGGTGTCTAAGGGACTAATACTTACCAGGGGCTCAGTTGCAGCGAGAATATGGTAGAGGTGGCCTCTTGTCCCTTCTCTGTCAAGACTCAGTTTGATTTTGTTCTCTTTGGATGCTTCTTGGCCAGTGGTGCCCTTAAATGGCAGAGAACTAGTGATCATGGCCCCCGAATTTCCTCTACACCTCAGTTAATAGCCAGAGATAAAAATAAAGCCTCCTGGTGGATCACTTTTTCTCAACTGTGAGGAGAAGTCAGGGGTGGCTGCTTCTCTCCTGGTTGCTCAGAAAGGAGAAAGATCGCCCACTGTTAAGAACAGTCACAGCTGCTGAGGTTTGTCTGCACCAGACAGCGTGCTGCAGTCTGCTGATACTTTGCTCTTTGTCTTCCAAAGAGTGTTCTCTGACTGGCAGTGTGGACCCTTTTATGAATGAAGTGAATGAGGCTCCGGCACTTGTTCAGGGGCAGACTGGTTGTAAGTGCACAGAGCCAGAACAGAATCCAAGCAGCCAGTCCCCTTGGTGTCATAGTCAGAAGGGGCTGTTGGCTGAGACAGGGTGGAGTAGAGGTGCCTGTTCCCGAGTCAGTGATAGAGGGGGTTAGATACTGCTTCTGAGGCCCACCCAGGCTTCTGCTCTGTGGCTAACCTTAGCATTTTGGGGCCAGCCTTGTCTTCAGCCTCAGAAGCAGGGAGGCCTTGCATTCCAAAAGGCCAGATGACTTGCCCAGGGTTACTCAGAATATAGCAGAGCCTCAGTTCGAAGCCAGCAAATCTGAATCTTCTGGTTTTACAAATTCTCCCCTGCCATGTTATTGGGCACTGGGTACATCTTCTCTTGTTAACTTCTTTTATTTGTCCTGACACATCCCTGGTGGAAGGCTGCACACCTGCAGGGCTATCCTCAGACTCTCCATTTGCACAGTGGTAGTAAAGTCAGACTGGAGTGGAGTCGGGTGCTCAGGGACTCCACTTGAGGAGGGCTCGAGGGAGGCTGTACTTTGTGTTTGGTGTGGAGGAGATTTGATGACATACATTCGATCAGAAGTCACTCAGGGCCATCCTTGAAGACTGTAAATCAGATTCTCAGTGCCTCTTCTGAAGATTCTTTGTCCTTCCTTTTTAAAAAGTCCAAGGGGACATATGACAGGGCGTCTGGCCACCACATGGGCATTGCTTCCTGATGCCTCTGGGGTTCCAGCCTCTTTAGCCTCTGAGCTCTCCCTACAGTGTCTTGCTGATCAACAGTCAAGGAACACCCAGAGCTGAGCTTGTGCCTCCGTTGGTAGAGTGTTTGCCCAGCACTCTCAAAGCCCCGGGTTTCATCCCAGGCACCCCATAAACTGGACACGGTAGCAACACCTGTGATGCCAGGCAGAGGTGGGAGGACCAGAAGTTCAAGATCACCTTCATCGGCATGAAGAGTTCAAGGCCAGCCTGGCCTACATGACACCCTATTTTGAAAGTAAATAAATAAGTAAGCACCCGTCTCCCTGCTCCATCTTCCCCTGTCACCTGCAGTCCCACCTGTGCCTGTCATCACCTTTGTGACTCTGAGGCCCAGCAGCACTCTGATTTGAATTTCCAGTTGCTTAGAACTCTGCCTAGCTTGTGCTGGAGGCACAGACAGTATTTGCTGAGGAAATTAGGTCAAATGCCAGCTCTTCCCTAAGGGTAGCCTTAGGCATGCATCTCAGCTCTGCTGAGCCTTGATTTTCTAGTCTGTACCATGGAGATGATAGCTCTGACCCTGCTGTTACCATAACCAGGAAGGTGTGCTGACAGTCAGAAGATAGGTCATAAAAAAGGGAAAAAGAATCCTCCTCTGTTGTTTCCTGGCTGTGTGGCCTTTGGATAGTTGATTCACGTCTCTGTTTACTTGTGGAGTGAATGGAGAGAATAAAATCTTCCCCGGCAGTTATGGTGTGGGACCTCTTAGGAGAAGGTGCTAGATGAGAAGTCCATTAAGAACACCAGGGAGCTAGTCTGGGGTCCAGGCTGGAGGTGGTGAGTGTTTCCAGGGTCCCTGAGGCTAGAAAAGCCAGGTGTTTCTGAGCTGTGGCTACCTTCTCCACAACTGAAAGAATGAAGGGGTACTAGGTCAGTGTAGTGGGGAATCCTGTTGGTGTGGTAGCGATTTTTTCCCAGTACTTGAGTGTCTGGAGATTTCTGACTGTTGAGGTACTCCTCAAATTACTGCGTTGTGCGAATTCTGATAAAGGCTGGCAGAACGCACCTAATTTCATCCAGCATCTCCATGGGTGTGGCTCAGCATCCAGACCTTTGCGAGTCACTGTCCAGAGCTCAGGAAGCAAACAGATGGGGGTGTTTCTGAATCTTTGCTAAACTGAATTCCCAAATCAACGTTCACCATACCAACACGAGGATAAAGCAGGGCGAAGGATTACGACCCATGTGACTGGCTCAAGGGAGTTTAGCACCAGAAGCCTTCTAGTAAAACCAGGAGTCAGATGAAGAAATTCCAAGACAATCCTGAATTCAAAAACAAAAAATAGAGGAGGGAGATCTAACCTAGGGCACCCTGCGTGCCAGGCGAGAGGTCTACCACGGACCTAGGCACACTTGTCATTTGGACAAACTTAGCTCCTTCTCTTCCTCCCCCTCCCAGTCTTCTTCTTTTTAGATACCCGTTTGTTTCAGGGGTGTGAGTGTTTTGCTTGCATGGATCTCTGTGTACCACATTTGCCAGAAGGAGGTGCTGGATTCCCTGAGCTGGAGTTGTAAGCTACCATGTGGGTGCTGAAAACCGAGCTGGCTTCTAATGATCTTAGTGCACGTCAGGGAGTTCAATCAAGAACGAGAAGCCTTGCCCCATGACAGAAAGGCCTACGCTCTGTTCCCGAGTCTTGTGAGAATCTGTGATACTGTGGGTCTTTTGCTTTGTGTATCTAATCTTTCGACATCGAGATACTACGTGGTCATCTACAGAATTCATGTTTGAGAACCATGCAATCAAATTAAAAATTAAATAAATAAATACATATAAAAATAAAAGTCACAGGCCTGGACAGATGGCTCCTCAGTAAAGAACACTTTTTGTTCCTCCAGAGGACCTGCATCCAGTCCCCAGCACCCATGTTGAGTGTCTCACAATTTCCTGTAACTCCAACTATAGGGTATTCAGCATCAACTCTGGCCTCCATGAACACTTGCACACATACGGCACAACAACCCCCCAGTGTCATAATGGTTTTAGTTCGTTTTATGATTTTGTGTTTGGGCTGCATTCTACAACCTCCTGAGATAGCACCATTAAATGGGGACCACGTATTTATATACGGAAGCCTTTAAGGTTATGTCATATGATTATGAGGTGACTAAGAGTCTTCAACACAGAAAGGCTGAGCTATGTTCACAGATACTCAGCGTGTGGTGGGTTTAAGTTCAAGGGGACTTGTTCCTAGGCCATTGCAGGTAAAGGATGTCCAGACTGGAGGGAGGCTGTGGGTCCCATCTCTATGTGTTTGATAACTGTAGTCCTAGCAGGTTGGAGAAAGAACAACAGAGCATGGCCTCTCCGGGAGTTCTCACTGTAGGCCTGGACATTGTTGCACAGGGTATTTCTGCTCATAAGCTGTTTTGCCCATATCTAGAACCCCATTGTTGTAGGAGAAAACTGAGACCAGCAGGGGAGAAGGAAGCCCGGTGAGGATTATGCTGTCCAGCTCACAGCCGCAGACATGGCTCAGAGTCACACAGTGAAGAGCAGTGGGCCTCTGACATCGGCATCTGTACACTCAACCAACCAGAGAGAGAGAGAGTCAGGTGGAAAAAAAGTATAGGCTTGCCGGGCAGTGGTGGCGCACGCCTTTAGTCCCAGCACTTGGGAGGCAGAGGCAGGCGGATTTCTGAGTTCGAGAGTTCGAGGCTAGCTTGGTCTACAGAGTGAGTTCCAGGACAGCCAGGACTACACAGAGAAACCCTGTCTCGAAAAACCAAAAAAAAAAAAAAA